TGCTTTTGGTTCCTTACAGATCTAAACGTATAAACCAATCATATTAAAGAATTTTACAACAGTTGCAAAGCTGCTTTCTCTGCTGAACGCAGCCATTCATAAAAATGGTTTCAAAACTGTTGTGTTCCGCTGAAACGTACCTATTACGTTAACTAATTGATAATGGCTGCATTCAACAGAGAAAACTAATCAGTTATAATAGTAATTAATATTAGTAATTAATCAAAACTGTCACTTTCCGTTAAATGGCTATTTAAATCCCTTATATGAACATTTCAACGGTGCAGACAGATAGCGACAATAAAGAGAAGAAGCGAGATGGAATATAAGTGGCCTGATTGGTTACATACCTTGCTCGCGCATGTGCAGTTCATTTTTATCCACGGTGAAATCGTGAGAGTTGCGCTACTGTATATACTGTGGTAGTAGTACGTGTAGTGATGTAGTACAATGAATATAGTAAACCTAAAATCGTCAAAAATTAATCAATTAAGCCCGGATCTAATTATGCGTAGTAAGAAATTATGTGTAGTAAGAAATCAACTCTTAATCATAAACTTAATTATATTCGACTAATTTTCTTCGCTTTCAACTGTGATTGGTCAATTCCTTATGGTTAAATACACTTCAAGAAGAAAAATTGTAATATTTATTCTTTATTTTTCAGTAAAGACGGACAGACGGTTTTATGTACATACATGCATGTCAAGTGATATTATGTACATGCATACATCTAACAAATATTTAAATATTTCTTCTAGACATTGCGTTAATTTATAAAATATGTACATTTATTCATATAATGATTATTATACACACATGCATCTACATATATGTTTCTGTAATTTCTAAGATCGTATAATTTGCGATAAATAATTGAATTTGTTGCGATTAATGCCTTATCCTTGTGACCAACCAATCGGAAGACAGTCACGTGACTTACCGCTTGCCCCGTAGCCTATCAATTTATCGCTTTTCATGGTCTTACCGTTACGACTAAAGGAGCTTACAGACCAGAGCGGCGCAGCGGTGAGCGACGAGCGGTAGCCCAATGAGAGCCACGCTTTTGCGTGACATCATTAGTGAAGCATGGCTTTTATTGGGCTACCGCTCGCCGCTCACCGCTACGCCGCTCTGGTCTGTAGGCTCCTTAATACTTTCACATGCAATGGCCTTCACACGTAAAACAATTTTAGTCGTAATCGTAAGGCCGTAAGCAAATCGGCCAATCACAGTCGAATGTTTTTAAACGCGAGATCGTAATTTTGATTGTGATTGGTCGATTTGCTTGCGATCTTACGATTACGACTAAAATTTTTGTACGTAATGGCCTTAACCCCGGATTTACAATAGAGTTTTAAACCTGAAGTCATAAGAAATGGACGAATCGTAGTCGATTATTCTCCTCAAATTCGACTGTAATTGGTCAATTTCTTACGGCTTCATGCTTAAAACACTATTGTAGATCCGGACTAAGAGATCAGCTGACACCGTAGTTTGCATTTGCTTTATCAGCTTGTCCAGGAAAGAGGTTAATTTTTACTTTTATAATATATAGTTGATTATTTATTATTATACATATTTATTGAAATATGATTTAAGCAATATGAAGCGAATATTGAACTGATGAGAATAAATTTAATTAAATAAAGGAATCCTATATTCGGTCATACAATATGTAGAATCCGTATGTTATAAATTCACAAAGAAATATGTATTTAATATTAAGATCCGCTTTGATCGAATATAGGATAAAGTAAATGCAAATTACGGTGTCAGCTGATCTCTTATCCCAGATCTACAATAAGGTTTTAAACTTTAAACCATAAGAAATGGACGAATCATAGTCGATTATTCTCCTCGAATTCGACTGTAATTGATCAATTTCTTACGACTTAAGGCTTAAAACTCTATTGTATATTCGGGGTTAAGGCCATCACACGTACACAAATTTTAGTCGTAATCATAAGGTCGCAAGCAAATCAACCAGTCACAATCAAAATTACAATCTTGCGTTTCAAAATGCTCGACTGTGATTGGCTGATTTGCTTACGGCCTTATGCGGCGTCTACAATAGAAGTCGTAGCGATCGTAAGGTCTTAAGTCATAGAAAATTGATCAATCACAGTTGATTATTCTTCTCATATTCGATTGTGATTAGTCAATTTTCTACGACTTAAGACCCTACGACTGCTACGACTTCTATTGTAGACCCCGCATCACGATTACAACTAAAATTTTTTTACGTGTGATGGCCTTAATGTAGAACCAGCTTGATAGGTCCCAGGCCTCATGACTGATGGCCGCAGCACAGACTCTTGCATAACGCATAATGCATAGTGCATAAGGGAATCGACCAATCGAAATTCTTCTTTTCCATGGAATGGAAGGAAAG